TGAGAGAGAGAGTGTGAGAGTGTGTGTGTGTGTGTGTGTGTGTGTGCCTCATACTGCAGTAACACATAGTGAGTGTACACACACTTGTGCAAAAGTCAAAAGATACAGTGTGTGAGAAAAAAGTAATTTTCTGTTTGATAAGAACTTGTTTTTTAATGAATCAGTATTAGTTACTGTGATGATCAACAGCAGAGACTGTAGGGCTGCGTTGATTTGCTCATTTCGGCCGCAATTTTGTGATTATATCACAATGTAGGCATGTATCAGTATGTCTATGAAATAATAATAATAATAAATTATATTATTGCTATTATTAAATAAAATATGTAATATTTAAGAAATATGTTTAGGAAATATAATATATTTTATTTTACAACCATTTTTATTTTTATTACAAATTTCCTAATAAATTAGTCTTAATTTCCTTATTTTCAAATGTTAAAACATTTACAGCTGCACGGCTTGGGGAAAAATCTACATTTATTTTTTTCTGATAAAAATTGTTTATAATATGATTTCTTTTTAAATCTAGATTTTTTTTTTCTTGTTTTCGGACTGCACATAATTTTGTGATTATGTATCAATATGACTATAAAATAATAACTATGATGATGATGATGATGATGATTAATACAAAATAAAACTATAAAAATTGCTAGATAAAACTAAATAAGAAATGTTACTATTTTAATATTTCTCTGTTAAATAATCAAGTATTTAAGAAAAATTATATAATAATTTTATTTTACATCATTACATTACTAATATTTATGTTAATATTTTATTTTGACAGGAAACTGCAGAAACCCCAAAAGCTTCTCTTCTTCCCTCTGAAACACGCAGCATATATATTTATTTAATTAAATCACTGCCTTTGGTTTTTATAATTGCACTAAGCCATATCACAGTTTTGGTTTATTGTGATAAATCGCTCAGTCTAGCAGAGAGTTCATTATATTTCACCTGTGTCTTGATGGTGGTTTGATTCAGAATGATTCACTGACTGTTGTAGAAATGCAACAGAATTTGCTTCATTCTGCAGATCTTTAGCCGCTGCGCTCCTGCAGTGGAGTCAGTTTCCAAAGCTTTGTAACAGTATGCACGTGTGGCTTAAATGAAGCTGTCGTGACGTGACAGGCCTACAGTCAGCGCTGGGTTTGCTTACAGTCTCAAAATAACCCTCAGAAATGTCAAATGTACAGCAGTGACCCGCAGCCTTCTGAAATGTTCTCATGAGCCGTGTGACTGTGTACTGGATCCTCTAACTCATCCCGAGCTTCAGAGGAAACACACCAGCGTTTGCCTGCGGTTATTAGCTTTCCTCTTCCTGTACCGAGAGCGCATTCGAATCTAGCTCAATAGTTCACAAACAGGCAGAAGAGACATTTGATTATGGCAACAAAACATTCAAAACAGCGGCCCATTAATATCTGAAAAACAAAAGCCTTTTCCACTGGGAATGGTTTCCGCGTCTGTGGCGTTAATGCATTCGCTGGGCAGAGGACGAATTAAACGGATCCGTACGACTACAGTGTCATGTTGGGTTACAGAAACACGTGAAGCTAAAATGTGATTTCCATCCGCGGCGCTCCAAATGTTGTAGTCTCTAATAAATATCACTTTATGAAATAAATAAGTGAAGAAACACTCCAGGCTTCAGTACAATAGTCTGCAGCTTTTCAGAACTAATTAAAAGAAAACAGGATTGTGTCCTGCGGCTGGTTCAGAGAGAGCGAGCATCAAATAAATCTGCTGAGAACGAGTTCCTCGTCCAGTTCACAGTGAAACGACTGATCAGAGAACTACTCATTCTGTTCAGACACTTATTTATATATATATATATCTCTCATAATAATTGCATTTTGGAAGAGTTTTTATTCCTAGTTGTTTGAATAACAGTCACAGCTGACTGTGTGTTTTCCTCAGAGAGACTCATTTTCTCAATACGCTCAGATGCTGAAATGAACTTGGCATGTCGTGAGAAACAGATGAGAATGATTTCAGATGCTGTGTCTGGCAGCTTTGGCTCAGAGATGATGGTCTCCAGTGTACTGTGTTATATAGCGCTTTATACAATACAGATTGTGTCAAAGCAGCTTTACAGAGTCAAACAGGAGAAACGTGTGCTGGTACTGCAAGAGGACAATAGAAAACAGTCAGTTTATCAGTTAAAGTTGTTGATTCAGTGATGTCATCGTCCAGCTCAGTTCAGTTCTCCTCCAATAGTGTTTGTGCAATCAAGTCAACAATTTTGCCAGAAGCTAAGCATCCCCAACTAAGCAAGTCAAAGGCGACAGCGGCAAGGAACCAAAACTCCATCGGTGACAGAAATGGAGAAAAAACCTTGGGAGAAACCAGGCTCAGTCGGGGGGCCAGTTCTCCTCTGGCCAGACCAAACCAGCATGATGTGGTTTAATTCCAGGCTGCAGCACAGGTCAGATTGAGCAGAGGAATTGTCTGGTTTCTGTGGTCTTGTGTTGATGGTTGTCGAGGTGACGAGGTCTTCGCAGGGGATCTGTCTTGTCTCTTGACATGGTCTCCGCTGACATTCAGGGCTGTGTTCAGATATGACCGTATATATTTACACATGGACACCTAAATAAATGGACTGAAAACAGTGATTCTCAGAGCTTCAGTCAGAGTGTGTGTGAGGGATCATCATATGACAGCTGTCTGTGTGAATGTGGATGGTGTTTGATGTATTCTTAATGAATTGTATTGAAGAAGGACACTGTACTGACTCTCTGTCTGTCTGTCTGTCTGTCTGCAGAATACTGACGATCTGTTAGTAGCGTCAGCAGAATGTCCGAGTGATGATGAAGATCTCGAGGAGTGTGAGCCTGGAAACGGTGAGTCAGTCTTACTGTCTATGTGTGTTTTTACGTGCTGTAAACACACACACACTCACAAAATCCCATCCCATGTGCAGCTGTGATTGGACAAAATATGCCGGAATTCAAGTTGCCGGTCACAGATTGAACCTAAATTAAGTTATTGATGAATGTATATTGTACCATAAAATATGTATTTGATAATTTTCATCTCTGATAGTAATGTTCAATGTTTCTGTCTGATGAATGCATATAAATTAAGGAAACTAAGTGAGATGATTTACTTGAATTCCCATAATGCCGTTGTTAAACTCAAACTCCTTTCAAAGTATATTCTGACAACGAGTTGTACTATCTTACGCAGTTTGCGTCTGAAGTAAGTGTGTGTAGTGTTAGGGACAGGGCTGGATTGGTAATTGGGCATACCGGGCATTTTCCCGGTGGGCCGATGCACTTAAGGGGCCGAAAGAATGTTTTTTTTATTATTTTTTGCCGAGGGCCATCACACAGGGACAGCGAGCAGCCAGTGGCCCATTGGTTTGTCTCCTGTATTGACAGCTTAAACATCCAATCACAATGCGCTATAGACGGAGC